TGCGAGGCTAAATCCACAGCTTAATTTTGGACCAGCGTTGGCCGCGTCACGCATCCCTGAATTTCTGTGAACGAAACGCTTTGAGCTCAAAATTAGCTAAGTTTTATCGCTCGCCGTCCATGAAGAGAATGTTTCAACAGAACAATTTATAATTCTAAATAATAAATAGTTGTTCTAGATTAAGCAAAACGATGATTGGAAGAGGAATGAGTTTATTAGTTCTTTTTACAAACCAGGTCATACCTCATCATTTTAATTTCTGTCATAAATGTATAGATTAAAGTTGCCTAGTGAATCGTTTGTTAGGGCTACACGAGAACGATTTAAATTAGAAACTTATATTGAAATCTTTATTTTTTGGATCGTCTTTATACTCTGAACTTTTGCCTCCCTGCGTGCGACCGATAACATTGAAGCTCCGTGCCCTCTGGAGCTGAAAAACAATCACAAGATGGTCTTCCCTCTTACGGTGTCCCCTCATCCATCACCCCCCTCGTCCACACTCCTCATCCCCCTCGTCCACACTCCTCACCCCTCTCGCCCACACCTCCTCGCCCACGCCCCTCATCCCCCTCGTCCACACCCTTCTTCCAGATCCCTCACCCCTACAGGAAACGTTCGCTGGATTATTACTGGCAAATGGACTGCCGTAGGTTGGCCGGCGCTAGGATGTGTATTTTCGCCTTGTGTAAGAAAGACTAAATGTTCTGTGGTAATCCGCGGTGTTGGGCTAAGCTCTTCGCCCGTGCGACGTCTGCGGTTAAATAGAAGTGTTTCGAGGTAACTCGGAGGTCCCAGGTTGTATATGAGTAGAACCTACTTGCTGCCGATTTAATATGAAGGCCAATCAAGCATTATTGAGATAGACGCTATTGTTGTATTTATTGCATGATGAAAGCCACGATATCCCATTTAGTAGGAAGTAAATCAAAGTTGTACTTCAAAAAATATCTTATTTGATGCTAAGAGTTCAATGTATCTTGATGCAAGTATGCTACAAATTTCGATGCAGTAAACTGCGATATAGTTTCATATAATAAACAGCGATTCGTGTTCGTGTGTCAATTTATAATGCTTGTTATTTTGACCTTGAACCAAGCATTAATTTGGAATTTTTACCTTGTGCAGGAGGCAACAATTGTGCTTGATGCATCAAATGTTTATTTTAATGTGACAAGCTCATTTCGGTTTTCACTTTCGATTGCTGGACGAAGAGCTTAACTAACAAACTAACTCTAAACAAGAAAGTTATTTTGGCTCCAAAAGCAAAATCGAATTCCTATAACGTACTGAAATTTTTTTAATGATATCTGTTATGAACAAAATTAAGTGGTTCAACATTATCTCAAACTCAGTTTTCAAGAGATAATTTACACTATGTTTGGCCAGAATACTGACTGAAGCTCCGAACTAAAAATTTGAGGACGCAGGTTTGTGGCAGAAATATTCGAAATATTTTTCTAAACGTTTCTGGCTATTTACGTTCGACACCACGTGTCAGCTGCTGATAGCTTGATCCTTCCCTGAATCGTTTCAGTTGCTGATGGCTTGGTCCTTCTCTTTCTCGTGTCAGCAGCTGATGGCTTGGTCCTTCTCTGTCTCGTGTCAGCTGCTGATGGCTTGGTCCTTCTCTGTCTCGTGTCAGCTGCTGATGGCTTGATCTTTTTCTTGTCTCGTGTCAGCTGCTGATGGCTTGATCTTTTTCTTGTCTCGTGTCAGCTGCTGATGGCTTGATCTTTTTCTTGTCTCGTGTCAGCTGCTGATGGCTTGATCTTTTTCTTGTCTCGTGTCAGCTGCTGATGGCTTGATCTTTTTCTTGTCTCGTGTCAGCTGCTGATGGCTTGATCTTTTTCTTNAGCGCCTGAGAATCTTGGTAGCTGCATAGCTGGCCAATGAATAGGCGAAGTTTACCCAGCACCCTTCTGGCTCTAATTTTCATGAAGGTAGCTTCGACCCTCGGTGAGGCTTTGCTCTCCTGTATATCACACATAGGCAGGGACTCTCCCCTCTCTTGCTTCCATTCGATCTCGCGTTGGCGAGATCTATTCCATGCCGTGGACGTTGCGAGGGAAGGTGCGCGGTGTTCGTAGCCTAGCTCCCGCGGGACGTTGATGGCACGATGCCTATTTCTTCCTTGGACCTCGAAGAGCCGCGGGGCCTTTGCCGGCAGCGTTACGAGCCCTCAAGTCTCTCCAGCGGTGCAGTACTGAGGGGAAAGAGGGGAAGGAGAAGTAGGTATATGCCCTCACATGCCTAGGGCCCTCGCCTAGCCCGCTTATCGATCTGCAAAACAACGCGTGCCAAAGCCTCCACGAACCTCTACCTCGATCAATAGTCCGGCCCCGGAGACTGCCTCCTGCACCCTGCAGGGCGATTTAAACGTTACACAAGTTTTTTTTCCTTCGTCGCATGGGCGCTTTAAATGTTTCATACGTTATTTTCTTTGTCGCATGGGTGCTTTAAACTTCACATCTTTTTTTTTCGTCGCATGGGCACTTTAGGAATCACATAAGTTTTTGTCTTCGCATGGGCGCTTTAAACATCAGATAAGTTTTTCTTAGTCGTTCGCTTTAAACGTGACATACGTTTTTTTCCGTCGCCCTTTGTGTGCAGTTTTGTACCTGCCCCAACAGATGCGTTGCATTTTGATCTTTCCTGTGCTAGATTATTTTTGTTATTAATTGCCGAATATTTTCTGTTGAAATTATTGCTTATTCAATGCTGACATTTTTATACCCAAATAAAAGCTATGCAGTAAATTGTTTTTCACATTTCTTACCCGCGCTTGGTATCTTTTGGAAACGACTTGAATTATTTCGAATTTCTGAATTCGTTGGCATTCAATAATTGAACTGTTTACGCATTATTTGCTGTTTAGAAACGCGAGAAATGAGATTCAGGATGAGAGGAAATATGTGCGATTAATGGCTATGTTAGGAAATCCCACTAATAAACTTGTGAAGAATTATGGCTTTATAATGACCATTTTAATTGCTTAATTGCATTTTAATTGCTCTGACACGAGCTGCACTGGACCTAAACCCAGAGTTCATCCGGAAATCCACGGTAATGCCATGCCATATTTCATTAACTGACAGCTCATAACGCCTCACTGAAATATTCCGCCAGCATTAAAGCAATTTTTTTCTTACTTTAGCTCTAATTTTATGAACAAAGGTAATTAGTATTTTGTTGAAATGAAGTTCACTGACCTTGACGTATCTATTGTCATAAGTTGTAATTATAGTGAATTGTTAACAGTCTTCCACTAACACAAATCTAATGAGAAAAACCTCACTTCTGGCTTCTTCAGAGCTGCTTTTGATCCACCTATAATTTTCAGTAGTGGATTGATCGTAGCTGCATACGCCGCATGTGACTACAAGATCAATAAAGAAGTTTCCCTTCGTGCATTGAGTACTTCACTTCGCCTAAATATACCCTACACAAAATTATATTCGGGGCAGGGCCGGTTTATCGTCTGCCATCAGTTGGCCTCCAATAAGCCGCCTGTAATATTTAACGAGGTAGGGGCCAGACAGTGTCCAGGCACAGCTGCTCTCCATAGCCAATATCGTGACTTTGATGGCTTTTGCGCCGTGTGTGTAATCTGGTTACTGCCGCTGTGTGTGCGTCTGTGTCGTGTGTGTAGCGTATGTGTAGCGTATGTGTCGTCTCTACTGAGTGGCGTGTATTCTGTGTGTTGTTAGCGTGCGCTCATCTTCATATTCATAGAAGATGAAACAATAGAAATTCATAGAAAAGAACAATAAGAAAATCGTAAATAAAAAGTACGCTCTGGTCTTCAACCAAACCTGTATAAATGAATAACTTCTGCCTAACTACACTAATCATCTTCATATGTGTATGTTTGTATAAAGTAAACGTGAGCGCGTTGATTGAAAGCGATTGCTAGTGTGACTTCCGTGAACATTTCTAGCATCTAGCATGCTTGCCATTGATTGCTTGGTATTTCAGGAAAATAATTTCTATGAAGCTGATTGATAATAGTAAAAACTACCAACAGTTTAAAAACTACTACCCGCGCCAACTGCACTGTATCAAGTCCTGATCATCAGTCCTGTACTCGTACGTAGTACCCGTACACAGTACATGTACTGCTCACAATCATCTTGTTCACTGAGACGACGTGCATGTCAATTCGTCATTCGTGACAGCACGAAGCCGTATATCCTCTCGTCTGCGCCCTGATCACGATTACATCCCTAATGAAAATCACGGCTTTTTCGGGTCCGGCCGATGGTTGGTACCTCGAAGGCCAGTTTTAACCTGAAAAACATTTCACGCTGATGTACGTGCGTGCCGTGATGGTGGCTGAGCTCAGATCCTTGTTTCGAATCCTGACACATTGAAATTGTAGGTACTATTTAGTAGATGATTGATAAAAATACTCCAGATATGAATATCCGACGTTCCAATAATTCAATGGAATGAAATTGCTGTTTAATTAAAACAAAAATAAATGTTTAGTGAACTAAATTTACGACATATGATCCCGCTGCATTTTTTGGTAAATCGCACAGTATTTGGAAATGGATATCAACGTCCTGGCACAGTACTAATCATGCGCCGCATTACACGAGTCACCGTATCACCTCTAACACTTTTTGTCCCTGGACAAACCTAACTAATATTCGTGTTACAGGAATCATCCTACCATCTAAACTACGTATGTCGCCCATGAACCCAACTAACTCAAGCTCGATGTTTAGCAGTTGTCGTACCACTAAACGACTTATCGTCCGTGCACCCAATGCACCTACACAACTAACGTCCCAAGTTACAGGAGTTGTACCCCTGAACTACTTATCGTCCACGCACCCACCTAACTAAAGCCCCGTGTTACAGGAGTTGTCGTGCCACCTGAACCACATCTTTTCCATGCACCGACCAAACTAATGCACGTGTTACATGTGTTGTCGTTACACCTGGATCACATATTGTCCATGAACATGCCTAACTCACGCCCCGTGTTACAGGAGTTGTCGTACCACCTGAACCACTCGGACGCATCCCAGCACTCGCCCTACCTGAACAGCCTCGCAGCAACTGGCGTTGGCGGATCAGGATCGTCCACACCGTCGCTGGACGTGAAGGAAGAAGAAACCGATCACTACGAAGAATCAGCCTGTCTCAGTGACGAGCACGTCAACATCAGCGACGAGGGCGTCCACTTGGTGGGTAAAATTTGGAATGCACTAACTCAACTTAGCTGTTGCCTCAAATTCAGTTTATTAAATAACTCAGTAATTCGTTACGTTCAGGTAATATTTGCATTCATTTTTACTCTATCCACTTTAAAAAAATCAAAGGTCAATTTACTAGATTTTACGTAGCTGTAGCGTAAACAATTTATTACATGAAAATAGCAAGTCGTCCTACTTGTAATTTTCAACACGTTGCTTGTATTTGTGCAGGGCGTGTACTCAGACGACTCTCTCTCGGCGAACCGTGAGCGTCACTCGTACCCGTGCCGCTACTGCGGCAAACGTTTCACCCAGACTGGTACGTGCAGAAGACACGAGCGCCTGCACACGGCACCTAACGGCTTCAAGTGCCCCTTCTGTCAAAAAGGTTTCAACCGCAAATACCGCCTCAAGGAGCACATCATCAGCTCGCACCCCAACAACGTCGAGGAGTCGGAAATTTCAATGATCGTCAACAGTGCGGCGAGTGGCATAGCATGAGATTTAGGGGCCATGGGTAGTGGAAGGCCTCAAACGACGACGCGCGCCCTCGGTATTGGCAACGAGGGACGCAACGCAGACGGCGGTCGTCCAAATAAGGCCTCAAGCGCGAAGGAAAGAATCGGTAGAGTAAGCCTCCTCTCCATGGCTTCACTGCTGAACGGTTTCAGGAGCGCCAGTTCGGCGTCTCTTGGACACCAACTCAATTTTTCCTTGCTCAGTGATAACTTGCTTCCCAAGATCAACTTGGAGCACGCGCTCTCTACCCATGACTAACCCCTTATCAGTCTCTCGATGACATCATGTTTGCCACTTATATCAAAGACTCTTTTACTGGATGCATGGAATATATAAGAACTTCCTGCGATCCGGCGGGTATCGCGTGCGTAGTTCGCGGTCACGTCCACCAATAAAGACATCACAGGTCGCAGACCCAAAGACAAACCAAAGTTTTGTACTTATACTGAGAGCAACGTGTTCGTTAGCGCTCAAGTTCTAGAGCTCATCTCCTTAAATTCGGCATATTTTCTGATGTTTATCTTGTTTGCTATGTTTCTATGCGTCTTTGTTTCATAATTTATTGTTCTTGTTCTGTTGTTTTAGCAATGAATGCTCAACCATCTTACACCCTTCACGTTGCAACAACATTGTCGAAGACAATATTGGATCAGGAAATACCTGAACCTTGTGAATGACAGGTGTACAGCGTGAACCTGTACTTAAAGCTTTTGAGGAGCATTTGCATTCGCTATTTCATTATTTTATTTCCTTTTGAATTGCAATATTAGTCTTTAAGTTTTGTTTTCTGGCTTGTTTATATGAGAAACAATTGCCTCGTGTTGTATATTGTATTTATTTTTAATCTATTTCCGACAGCATCGGGAAAGTGCAGGTGTGAACCCAGAGTGTACCATCCACAATACAGGATTCGAGGATCAAGGGTTTTAAGGTTGCGATAACAGGTCGAGAGAACGAACAGTAACTGAGGGTACGAACAAAGATAGAGGGCAATATTCAGGATGTGGGGTCTTCTGAGAAGAAAAAAATAATGGCATTCTTTGTCCCAAAAGAGATTCAAGGTCCCCACTATACTGATCTAAGTTTTTTCAAAATTATGCCCTAACAATAAATTGATTGATAATGAGTCATGCTTAGGGTAATATTTGGCCCTTCTTCAAGGAGGATAAGCGTGAATGCGTGTTAATTTTATTAAAAAAATTAATACCAATATGAACTGTCCATCTTTGTAAGTTTCAGCTTTATTTCCGAGGCCTGGCTTAACTGATGTAACTCTTCTAGCAGATGAGTATTAGGACTCTATTTACCTTGAAATTAGTGAGGGTTTGAATTTAGTTCTAACTATTACAAATGTAATTCTTGAAAGGGACGTGATGATGTGGGCAAGATGGTCACGATGCTGTCGGATTAAAGTCTCGCACAGGCACCCAACGTACGCGCACCATCGTATTATTAGCTCTTTACACTCATGCTGCTCTTGAGGGACGATTTACCGATGCTACCCTTCACTTGCCACGTGTAATGGTCCTTGTGAAATTTCATTGTCTAACGAGTGATACGTTACTAGACCAACATACATCCATCTAATTTTATACCTGAACCGCGACTGTTGATATTCGTCTGCACGTTAAACATCTTGAAGATATTCAGCATATCCGTCAGTGCAGCATTCAAATTAATTGTAAATCGTATCGTTCATTCTCCTTATGTCGCATTTTTTCACTCATTTTCCAAATGTGGGTAATATACCAAAATTTTCCTTAGGATTCTCTCGCCATTTATTTTGTACAGGAATCGTCTTCTATACTCCGTTGATCATCCACAGCGTATACAATAGCGCTTCGAATACCCTCCACTTTTATAATATATAATAACATTTACATGGCAAGTAAAGTAACGATTAAGTAAACCGTCTCCAAGAGCAGCTTGATTCGTCACTGCACGCATGCAATCTAAGTCACTTATCTTTAGTTATTGATCTTACCGAGCTATGGTACTTACCTAAGACTTAGTTTCTTCTATAGGCAAGACTCTTGAAGTTGTGGCCTCAGCTCTCGTAGTTGAAGCCCTGACTCGTCAGGAGCAAGGGACACATGACCAGTACATTAATAAGATCGCTCTCTTCTCCAATATTATGGTATGTATAAGATTAAGTAATAGGACATTTCTGCTGTGCAATCGTTTTAAAAACGTTCCGTAAATTTGTTAGTGCGCTTCATAAGAAGCGTATAGTGGATCGCGAAGCATTTCGTCCGAAACTTAGCATTCGCGTGAAGTCACGGAGTTAATAAGACGGATTCAAGACTGCATTCTCAAAAATCCCAACTACGATCGTAGGTATCATGACGATCATTTGATTCCCTGCAATTCTGAATTACAATGTCGCCTGTAAAATTCTTTGACCACTGTAAAAGTTGTACCTATATCCACCATTTCCAAGTTGTACGAATTCACGGCTATTTGCGAGGTCTTAATTGTTTTTTGAGGATGCAGACCTTAAAATGACCGTAACGAAGACAATATTCCTTATAATTTCAGCAAGTAACAGTGTAAGTGTTTGCTAGGTTTAACCTCTCTTGAGGAACTAATGAACCCTTTGCTCAGTGCAACACATTCCTCTCAACTTAAGAACAACTTACCTTAGCTATTTAGATACTGTAAGTCTAGCATTTGCTGTAACTCCTTCTATGGAATTAAGTCCCGCAAAGCCTGGAAAGACATCCCTGTTAAAATAAAGAATAAGCGATTTATGTGCGCCTAGTAAATGGCCGACGGTCGACCGGTGCTGATACGGCAACAATTTTCAGTAGGAACAAACGATCAGTTTTTCTAATAAACTGATACCATAGTTGGTGGTATTCTAAATTATAGAATATACGGTTTTTTACATTTAAAAGCATTTGTCACTTTAAAGTATTTGGAGTACAAGCTGCAGATGATAAACGTTTGGCATGATGACATCTGAAACTTTCCTGTCTCTTCAGAACGATTTTCCGGATACCCTTGTCGAGCTTCTCGTGAAGGTCGTAAGTTTTCGCAGAACTTAAATTCATACGATAGTCGTAAGTGATGCGATGATCTTATACATTATTTTCAGACCAATGATTGGCAAAATTTTTCGAAAACCGGTTGGAGATTGGCTAACTGATTTACGACATCGTAATTTTTGAGTATATGACCCAAGGTCGAAGCCACTTCTTACTGTTAACCGAATTTTTTGTCCTCATGCAACCACTCATACGCAACATATGTCAATGAAGACAAGATCTAATCCTTGAGAAATAGTAGATATGTCGACCTCAACGCCCGAACAAGCATTGAAAAGACCAACAAAAAATTGCTGTCATTCGCTGCTATGTTTCGTTTCGCCAAACGCAGTCTTCCATGTCCTGGGACCGCGAGGTTCTCCAAGCGATTCGATTTTCCGTTTCCGAACAACTCCAGTTTATTTGCGTTAACTTAAAGAAATTCGGTGCGTAATTGATCACGCTTGTTTATTATGCAATTTTTCGAGTATGAAAAATGTTTTAAATGTCTAAAAAGATCTGTCTTGTAGGCTAATTTAGAAATATTATTTGAAGTGAGGATTTAAAAAATAACTACAAAAACTGTAACGCTTCCAGGAATCAATGTTCTGCTAGAAAAGAGTCTTCGTGATGCGCTTGTCGATTTCCGCCAATAGGAAAAAATTTTCCTCGTGAGCTTTCGAACTTCAACGTCTTCCTCCGCGTGTACAGTACATGCGTTGCCAACATTATGAGAGATCGGGCGCCTCTTTATGAGAGCTTTACCATGCCTTCAGGTACGAATAGCATTGATTACGGTTATTGCATCAGTAGACAAAGGCTTAGCTTTCTGTCTGCTGACTGAACCGTCTTTACCGAGTAAAAAGATTTAAGGGCTAAAATGCGTGGCGTTTGCCTCTGATTTTCTCTGTGTTGATTGCCAACAGCTCGTGTCTTCTTGTCAGGGTCCAATGAGGTAGCATGGTTGTAAACCAAGTTGTATAGTATTTACATTCTCTTCTGACTGATACTGCACATTCAGGAATAAGTGTTCAATGCTTAATTCGAATCGCTTTAGATGACCGCCAAAGATTCATGTTCGCAGCTTAGGAGTGCGTAGAAATCTATTAGAGATCGCGAGGCAGCGGCTGTGTTGAACTAATTATAGAGGCTGAAGATAGTGCTCTTGTTATAGCAGACTTTACAATCTATCGAACCTACCCAATTGGTGACGTCATTTGACATGGATAGTTCAAACTTTGTTCACAATAAACTATGGATGGAAATTTACAGTTCCAAGCTGTCAAATTTCATAAAGTCCATGGATTCATGTTGTGATACAACTCTACGAGGCGGACCTTGGTTCCAACAATGTTAAAGATTGTTATAATAAGAGCACTTTCCTTCAAATGTTCATGTCGGTATTAATAGCTCAAAAAAGACTTGTATTTAAAGGCATTACTTCACATAATTTCGGCCAAATGTACATCTATAAACACAACCAATTTCCGCTTGTGATCTTGTCTGAGCCAAACTTTAACAAATGCCTTGTGTGGAGACTTCCCACTTACCGTGCTACGTACTAGACAGCTAGATGCGTAGTTAGAATATTTTTATACCTCGTAGATGTCGATTAGAAAATATTAGGTGCAAAAAAGAATTAACAATATATTTTCATACCGCACTGCAAGCATGTAATGTACTTAAACTAAGAGGTCACGACCTGGTAACTAAGGCCTCCCGATCTCGTGGACCAGCATCTCAGAAATCATACAACCTACTGGAGTTATGTATTGATTGGATATTAATTTTCCTCGTACCCCACAATAGAACTTGATGTTGATCAAATTAGCCCCTATAGTAAGTTGCGATCATTGCAATTTTGCTTTTATTTCGAATTTTTTTCACCTGACATTTTAAGATTGAGCAAATGACAACAAATAATGTTGCGGCCTAACCTGTTACATGATAACTAAATACTCTGGTTTCAAATTAGTTATTTCTACGACAATACTGTTTTGGCTATTTTTTAGATTTTTATATGCAAAATTATTGTGCAGCGCAACTTGCGTTGCTTTAAATAATTTAAAGCCTATAACCTCGGCTGACATAATTGTGCCGCACCTGATTCTGCAAACTTATTCATTTCTTCTTCAATTTCCTCTACTTAAGAAAACTTTCTCACCATTTTACAATTCTTCTAAGCATATTTACTTGTTCATTACTACTCTTTTCCTCGCACCGTAGAATGTTTCCCCTCTGCTAAGAACCAGTTCGAAATTTATCCCATTATGAATTGTCAATAAATAAATAAAATCTATTCATTGAATCAACAGCTATAATTTAACATTGTCATGTTCAAGTCGCATGGTTCCGTAGTGGTATCATTGCATTGGTTTGATTTTATATTACAGCTTGCAGTCAATTAAAATTATAATCATTTGTGACGTTCAGCAGTAGGGTTAAAATATAATGGGCAAAATGGAGCGGCATCCACCAAACAACGGCAAGTCCTCTTCCCAAAACTGCAATGTGTTGTCGGAAGCAAGCGTCCAGTGATGTCCTCGCAGTCTAACTAACCTAGGAGTGCCAAGCAAGCGATCCTTCCTTGACAATTTTGTCATTATTTTGTGCTGCTACGAGCTTCCTTTCGAGGGCACATGTATGGTAATGATTTATATCAGATATGTGCATGATAAGATAGTTAGCATTGTAGTTTGGGTATAAATACTTCGATACATGCTATAAAAACTCACAAAAGGCAGTATGGTATGTCATTTTGATTGGTTACAATTTATTAGTTGATGTATTAATGACATTTGAAATTTTGTCGAAAAAACGAGCTGGTATTATCTAATTAATTTTAGGAACCAACTATAAAAGCATGGACTTTGAAATTGCAACCAATTCGACTGAGGGGAAACTCTGGTCACTTCATTCCACTAAAGTATAGACTTTTTGGCGAGACCACTTGCCGCTGTTGGCATGCTTTGCCTCAATGTACCTTATAAATGTGCAATTATATTAGCCTTTGAAGCTCGACGATAGCTTCATGATCGGTGCCTGTTTCCGTGCCACTTCATATAACCCTAATTTAGATACCAGGTGTAAACTTCTTCTTCTTCTTCTCTAAGGAATAAGCTAACAACTTGTGCTAAAATGTACTGTACTGATGATGGCTCATCAGACCATGTGATCGCGTTTTGCTGTAATCAGTTAATTATCGAACTCGATGCTAATTTTTTGGGTAAACCAATTTGTTATAATTTAATACAGAAGTTGTGTTTCAGTAAACTTATTGAACGCTCGATAGTTGAATGCATGGAAAACAGCGCGTTAAGATTGATATTCCAGAAACTACACTCACGTTATTTGTACTTTAATTTGAACAACGTCCTACACTCGTATTTGTTAAAAGTTTATCATTCTTTGAATAGATAAAAACCGTTCTTAACTTGCTCCTAACGGTACAAAAATGCAATGAAAATGTTTGCCGCAGCTGGAATTTTCTGTACGAAAAATTTTGTAGTCGCAGTATTCTAATTTTTTTCATGATGTTGAAAGCAACAGAATTCGGTTAGTAATAATGGGAGAAACCGTAGCCATGTACTGTTTTATTTAACATGAGCGTTGAAGTCCCCGCATATTTTTGAACATTCATTTCTACTAGGTAGATTATTCCTCTTCTTTCGCTAATCCTCCACTTGACACTCTATCTTGCTTTTCCTGTCAGAAAAATAATATGTTTTTATTGAGCCTATTTTAATGGGCGTAAAGTATAATCTATTTTCACGTTTTGTCCCATTGTTTTATGTATGTTTTAGATGTGTGATCACCAATGATGAACCAATTTCTCTGACGCGAAAGTCACTTTTGTATGCAGTAATATGTAATTGTATCTCCTACATTCCTTAATTTGTAGAGTAGCTCTTACCGAATATTGCACCTCTTTGAGGGTTTCAGGTAATTTCCTTGAAATTCTTTGAATAAAATGTGCTTCCACCTCAGATTTGTCACTATCCGCTTCAAAGCCTTTGAATATTTTGGATAAAACTGGAAATTTTAGTTTCATCAGTACAACAGGTCCTGACATCAGGCCAGTTAGAACTGTCATAGGCAATTAGGATCCAGAACGGGAGCAAAGCAGTGGGCCAGAATTTTAGTTGGAAAAACTTGCTCAGGATCCAGGACCAATCCTTAAAATGTCATTAGGCCTACTATAATCAGACTTATGTGCCGACAACATCGCTTTGAATAGAAAAATATGTACATCAGTAGTGAAATGAGTAACATGAGTATAGTGAATCAGGTAACAAAAGGAAAAAATTAAGGACCGCTGTATTAGATAATCACATATTGACCGGAACTGGAGTTGACGTCAAAGAGGAGACCATGCCAAGGAAGCCACGCAAGGAAGGAGGCCCTCGCTAGGGATGAGACCACGCAAAAGATAAGACCACATCAGGGATCGAGGAGACCGCAACAAGTAGGAGACAACGTCAAGTTGAACACTATCACAAGGAGAAGGCTTCGCAGAGGAGCAGATAAAGAAATAGTGGATCAACCTATTACACTTGAGATCAACCACATCTGGATGCCAAACCATTCGACTCATTATACTTGGGGGGGCAATCCACACCCGCAGACCATTCATGCCTGGTGGGGCCGACTACACCCGAAAAATACCCAGAAAATTTAATCACTATGTCATGTTAGATCAGTATATTTGTGAAGCAGTCTGCAGCAGACGGCTATCTAGTACAGGTAGTGTCCATTAGTTTCATCAAACAGCCTTCCATAACGCTACAGTCCGGCCATCGCCAGCGGAGTCAATGGAGCTCGGCACGAAACTCCTCACTCGTCAAATGTTAGAATCACTCGAGTTTAAGTCATGATAATTTATATGACTATACGTGCTACCCGTGAAATGTTATTTCAGATGGTCTTGGGGTTAGTTCCAAATCATTAGTTCCACTCTTTCAAATAAAAATGTAACTGCATGAAGATGCCCACAGGGCATGGTTGAACTAATATAAGGTTGACCCATGACGATGACGATTTTTCGCCGATCTGCGCATCTCTAGAGTGACGTCACTGTGGGCACAAAATGTAAATAGTGTAGATCAACACATTGCTTCTATGTCATCTTTGAAAGCATATAAAAAAATTAACTCATCAAAATGGCCCAATAAAATTTATTTACTGCAGGAAAAACGACTTATTTTAAGCAAAACCGGTGTTACAAATCAGTTAGACGTCACGAGGTGACGTCACAAGAGCCAAGGTGACGTCACAATTGGAATAACAAATGACATCCGCAAGGCGCAGCTGCACTAGGGAAAATTTTGCATTAGTTCAACCATGAAAGAAATTTACCTCATTAAAATCGCCCAAAATACATTTATTTACTGCCACTAGTCTTATTTTAAGCTAACAGGTGTTACAAATCAATTTGAATCATACGATGACGTCACAACGACCAAGGTGACATAACGGGTTTGAGAAAAATTCAATAATTATTCCAATCCTCAAACCGGGCAAACCCGGAAACCAGGACTCTTCTTACCGCCCTATCTCCCTCCTCTGCCCTGCAGCCAAGATCCTAGAGCGTCTTGTGCTCCTAGAGCGTAGTTTGAGACCGCGCGCTTTGAACACTAGTTGCCACCTAGACGTCAATGAGGATGGATGTAACCGAATTTGAGCTGTGGGTCATTGTTCTCGGGTGTGCTGCGGGCGGTCATTCTTCGTACTATGCCAGTTGTAAACGAGAATTTAGCATAGGACTCATAATTAGAGAACTAGCACATTCAAAAAGATGCAGTTTATAAAAATATAATCTATTCTTAAATAAAAAGTTCCAATATTCGTACCGACATTATATCATCCTTTAAAATCGCTAAACGGTAATGCATACATTGTCAGGAGTTGCTAAAATCACATAAACTAAACACGTCATGTAAAAATAACGTACATCATTTGCATTTCGATTTTTGTACTTCTTTGACCGAACACTCCATAGGCATTCGTGTTCTCTATAAAGATCAATTAGGCGCTCTATTAGAGAGTGACTCCAAACGAAAGTGGTGTTAGTCGACATTTGGTGTGCCGGACCAGCGTACACAATAAACCTTACTAGACCACAGACAGCTATCTACTAACTAAGAATTTAAAAGCAAAGAATAGTCCACAAAATTCATATCATATAGAAAACGTTTCGGAGACCAGCTCCATCGTCAATTCGTAGAATCTAGAATCACAAATCAGAAGTCACAAATTAATACATTGAAACCATAGAACATATTGGATTTCTTTAATTAATTAATTTAAATTTTTAACTTGATTTAAATTTTTTATTTAATTAAATTCTTAGTTAATTTGCGATTTAAGCATACAAGTGATATCAATTCTTTAAAAGCTATCTACTAAGTGCCGCGCTTGTGTTGTATGAGGCATGGCCCCTGTCAATCGCTAGCTCGTCAATCGGTCAAGAAGCGCATGCAAAGGCTGCAAAGCGCCTCTGCATGCGCTTTGAGGCACTTGATTCTCGTGTGTTGCCCCTAGTGTGAACGGGCCTTTACATCTTAGGATCCCTCACTACTGTCCCCTCGCAACATGGTTTCAAACCGAGACACTCCACAGTCACCGCCCTCCTCCCACTCGCGCTCCAGATCACGACGGGTTTTAACTCTCGGCGCCCTCCAGCCCGCACTGTCGCCTCGGCAGTCAACATCTCGAAGGCTTTCAACAGTGTCGACCACCCTCTCCTCCTAATCATGATCGCGGCCTCGGACCTACATCACAACCTGATCCGCTGGCTGTGCTGCTACCTCAGAGGCAGGCAGGCATCTTGCCTCTACCTGAGAACACAATCGCCTTTCAGAGCCATCCACTCAGGCGTTCCCCAAGGTTCGGTCATCTCGCCGGCCCTCTTTAACCATTTCATCTCCGATATCCCAGTGCCGTTCCCCAACATTGCCTCTTACGCTGACGACCTTACTATCTTCGTGTCGTCCCCGAGGCTCGACGCTGCGGAGGCTGAGCTTGCCATGCTCCTTCTGCCTTTGCAGCGTCTCAGATTGGTCGGCTGAAAAGAAACTTGACGTGGCTCCGGACAAGTCCTCGGTCACGTTTTTCACCCCAGATGCGCACCAATCCCGATACCACCCATCTGCCACAATTCGCAACGGCATCATCCCCCTAGGTAAAACCCCCAAAACCCTAGGCGTCACCTGAGATACGCACTTCACATTCTCCCTCATGCAAGAGCCATAGCCACGAAAGCGACGGGTTCTCTTCGCATCTTAAAAGCCCTTGCTGGCACCAACTGGGGCTTCTCCAAGGAGGACATAATTGCCACCTACCGAACCATCGCGCGCCCAATCCTCAGCTACGCGGCCCCCATCTGGTACCCTGTTGCCTCACGCACAGCAATTGCCAGTCTGCAAGCAATACAAAGCACTGCATTGAGACTAGCCACCGGCTGCCTCAAAATGGCCCCGATCGCCCATCTTCACCAGGAGACCGGCGTCCTCCCTTTGTCCGCGCACCTGGACCTGGCTTGTGCCCAGTTCCTCGCCAGCGCCCTATAGTCCTCCCATTACTCATTCCGCATTGTTTCTGCTCCACTCGGGGACCGCCCCATGAAAGTCTCCATCCAGTCGAGGTTCGGCCACCTGGTCACACCATTCTTGGCTAATGGTATAATTCCCGCCGGTGCCTACGGAGAGGCCAAGCGGTCCGTCCGCAGGGAGATAGCCTCCCGCGTTGCGACAACTGACGCCATAAACGCCGTCCTCGCAGCCCCGCAACCGGCGATTGCCTCAGTGGACACTCCCTCGCCCCTACCGCTCGGCGCTATCTTAGCTCCGCTCGGGATACTGCAGCTCCCTAGCGTCCTATTCCGCTAGGATCGGACGCTCCCCTAGCTCCGCCTGCCCGGAGTGCGGGGATCCCCTCCAGTCGGTCCAGTATCTCTTCGCCTGCCCTGCCTTCCCCATGTCCCTCAGAGTCTCCTCACTGTGGGACAGCCCCGTGGAGACTGCGGCATTCCTGGCCACCCTCCCTGCCTTCGCCCATCTCCCCCCTCTTCCGGTGCCTGCCCCCCTCCACCACCTGAGCCTCCTGCCCGGCGAGCGTGACGGACGTAATAAACAACAACAACATCACGGGTGAAATAACAAATGACATCCGCAAGGCGCAGCTGATCTTGGGTCAACCTTTTATTAGTTCAACCATGCCTACATGGTATCATACCTTGGGAATGAAGACAAGATCGTAAAAAGCACACTAACAAAACACGAATGGAAAGTCTTCGGGATTTTTCGTGCAAAGTTTCCTATAAATTGGAGCGGCTCTAGAGCTATATTCAAAGTTAATGTGACGTGAAAATTGGTCACTACAAGCGATACTGGCCACGAAGTTGTCCGATGGGTTTAGTTCTTAGTTGATTTCATTCAGAAATGACGCAAAATTTGTAAAAAACTTTTATTTTTTCAAAATCGCTATATGTTCATGTATTTTTCTCCGCTACCGTTGTATATAAGCTGCATATTTTCATTTTGTAGTTAATTTATTATTCCTAGTATTACGGCTTGACGTTCATGTGTCATGTGTGTTCCGTTCAACTGACTTCCAACCCGAGAGGCGAGAAGAGGGGGATTTAAAAATCGTAAACATTCGGCGTCGGCGACACAGATGCAGTCTGTTCTGTTGCTGTTTGCAAATGTAACAGTACGCCAAGTAAAAGAGTGAGAATTGCATTCGATGCATCGTGCTAGAAAGTATTAAAGCTACGACGGTATGTAGACATTATCCTTCAATGCTTAGCCTACTTTGAAGACTGATAATTCAAAAACTCACACTGAATGTAAATATTCCTGCATAAGAACGCGTAAAATTTAATTCATGTGAAATTGTGACGTCTTCAAATTTTGAGTCGCCCAAAATGGCAAATGATGAAAACTCCATTATCAGTGATTCTACTGTGCTTCAACAACAGTCTCCAATAATTTCATGTTCAATTACTCTGGATATCCTTGATATGAATGGCACCACAAAAAAGTCAACAACTTATAAAGCTGTGAAACTTTTGCTTGGCAGGAATCAGTTCAGGTATGAATAGTGAATACATATAACGATAGGCTATAAGAACCTGGAACTATTTACTATTGTGTACCTTACTTACATAACTGTGTTTGACATTACTGACTTTAGTGACTTAGTTGCCACTTGGCTTGCCACTCTGCTGTCTCTGCAGTAATGCAGAGATTGGCTTTTTAATTTTTAGGCCAAAATTTCAGTAGGTATTAGCGAGTATCAACTAATAAGTTAATAACTAGGTAGCCTGGTAGGTACCTATGGTTTAGGACTTTAGGTAATTTTGCAACAAACTACCTAAACCTTGAAATTTTCTTGCTAAAATTATGCATAATTTAATATTAAAAGGTATTTGGAGAGAAATGTGAAAGTAAGATCCTTTGTAATCATAGATTTTGTTATTAATAATCTATTGTTAAAGATCTTCAAAATTCGGTATTATTGCACTGTTTCAAAAACTTTGCATGCAGACCTAGCAAGTCAACCTAGAATTTGGTTGATTCAATGATTGCCTCTTATTTTTGCATAGACTGATAGAGATTGAAAGTTTTTTGCTTTTCTAATCATAACTCTGTGAATAAAATTAAAAATAAATGAAAAAGTGCTCATGTATTTTTTTTAATTTTAACCATTTTTCAGAGATCTCCTTCTTCAGTGCAATTGTGGATCTACAGTATTGAAGTTTCAACTGCAAGATTTCTTACTGCACAAGAGATTCATTAAAGATGGCAAAGCAACAATTGATCTCAAAGCTGAAAAAACCAGAATCATGATATTCAATGCACCTCCAAACATTCTTCTTGTGTTTTTGAAAACTTTAATGGCAAAGAAAGTTGCTGGCTCTGACAAGGAAAATAAACCTATAGGGCTTGCTGCTATCAGAGAAAGATTGCTTTCTACTTTACCTAATTCTTTTGATGAAATTAGTCCTCTTACTGTAAAGGTGAGAAATGAACTCATCAATTCACTCATACCTTACCTTGCCTGCACGCTAAAATTCTTATATCAACTGTATGAAGATTCAAGTTTCATAAGAATAATACATCATGCATTTTCAAGGTCCAAATATTTAGAATGTAATTTCTTTTGCAAATGTCTTGTAATTTCATCAAATTTGATTGGCATCCTAGCATTATATTTGAAGTTTATGAGTGTTGAGTACATTTTCTTATGTCATCTACCTATATTTTTCATATGCTGCAATCATTCTACACATTATAAGTCATTTGCACATTACAGGAATACCAGACAATACGTCAGGGTGGCACCACTGCCCAACAACAGCGAGCTGCAAACACAGCACCCTTCTCATCTCCCCTTTCAAGCAAAAGGAAAAGGAATTCAACGGTGACGTTCAATGCATTTATGTTCAAATCAGAGTAACAATTATGACTAAGGCTTTTCTAACCCTTTCTCTAGTAATGGTATATAGCTCATTACCAGATAGAAAGGAATAGCATCATACCTATAAGAAATAGTAATTAAACCATAAATTACTGTTCATCTTGAATCAATATTTTCATAAGCTCTCTCAGTCTGGTATTAAATTATTCTGTGAAAAAAATGGGAAGCATATGTCAAAAACATGACCTCTTAACTGATTTTTATTGCAATAAGGTTTTTAAATCAATTTGCATTTAAATTATATCTTTTTTCTTACAGCAGAATGACAGCCCAAAGTCAATAGCCAAGCGCTCTCCACTTGTGCCTAGGCCCCCTCCTGCCATTCTGCTCAGCATTGAACAGAAGAAAGTGCTTCATGCAGTTAAGGAAGGATTCAATGTATTTTTTACAGGTAACGTAACTTGTTTCTCTATCTTTTGATTTACTCCTATGACTCTCTTTTGACAAACACTTTCAATTTAAATTCAAATTTCTTTTATAAATTTCAATTTTACTTTAACATTTTTTGGCATTGTTCATTAACAATTAGAAGAGCTATGAACAAATTCAAATGAAAAATTGTTTGTTGTTTACCTTATGGTTGCACTATATGTGATTTCAGAGAAAGAGCACATAAACAAGATTTTACTTTTGATTGGTGACATAAATTCACCTCCTATTGAGAATGGGACTAAACACTACTAAAGTCTCATTTAAGAAATAAATGTTATTTATACCTGTTCTCACTAAACTCTATGTCTAAAGCCATAATTGAATTAGAAGTCTCTTGTACTTGAAAGACTTGCTCATTTAAAAAATTTTTTGATTGATAGCTAGGCTGGTTCCCCTGGCACTTCCTATTTTTACAGGAAGTGCTGGCACAGGAAAGAGCTTTCTCCTGAAAAAAGTCATTGGCATGCTGCCACCTGATGCCACTGCTGTCACTGCCACTGCTACTGCTGTGTCTGCTGTCACTGCCGCTGCCATTGGCATGCTGCCACCTGATGCCACTGCTGTCACTGCCAGCACCGGGGTGGCTGCCTGTCACTTGGGAGGCACAACCCTGCACAGTTTTGCAGGTGCATTGTTTACATGCATCTATAATATTTGATGAAGGTCTACTCTTTTTACATGTGCATTTTAAGAGTTTTCCTTACATGCAACAATATTAGGTATATTTGATGAGGACCTACTTTTTCTGCAGATGCATTCAGGCTTGTTTACATGCATCAATAATATTTTTGATATGGATCTACTCTGGTGTATCAGTGTCTCATTTCTGCATGGTCATCTTGATTCTTGCAAAGAATTGTTTTAAAATATGCATTTGAAATTCAATAATACTTCATGCAACAGCAGTACATGGTAATTTTGACATTATTTCATTTCTGTCGAGATATTACTATTGCATAACTTAGGAAGCAAAATGAATGAATGGTAATTAATATAACTTTCCTCTATGAGTAACTGTGCAAACGTCTCACGTTCAGGTATAGGCAGTGGTGAGGCGACGCTGGAGCAATGCATTGCGCAAGCGCGTAAACCTGCAGTGCTCAGGAACTGGCGGCTCTGCCAACACCTTGTTGTCGATGAGATCTCCATGGTAGATGGGAAATATTTCCAGGTACCTACCATCTGTTTCGTTCTAAAATTTGTCCGTATTGTAAATATAAGCACTTTGTAACTGGCAACACGTTGTTGGTGCCAGTAGTTAGAAGTGAGTAGTCTACTCGTTTTTTTTTTTGTGAATTTCTACCGTCTTACATTCTTTAAATATAGGATTGGGAACATTTTCAATAGTATTCATTTATGAATTCTAGCATTTATATAGAATCATTCATTCAGAAAAATCCTTCATTAATCATTCGTTCCAAATAATCCGTCATTAATCATTCATTCCAAATAATCCTTCATTAATCAGTCATTCCAAATAATCCTTCATTAATCAGTCATTCTAAATAATCCTTCATTAATCAGTCATTCCAAATAATCCTTCATTTATCAGTCATTCCAAATAATCCTTCATTAATCAGTCATTCCAAATAATCCTTCATTAAACACCAAACACAAGTGATGTAATCTACCCCTAGCCAGTAATGTCCGATGTGACTTTCGGCGCGAGATAGCTCGACCTGAAGCGCTAGCAACTACGGCCACTGAACTAATTCATTCATTCCAAATAATCCTTCATTAATCATTCATTCCAAATAATCCTTCATTACTCATTAATTCCAAATAACCCTTCATTGATCATTTATTCCAAATAATCCTTCAGTAATCAATCAATCTCTCAGAAACTGGAGGCCGTTGCCCGGGCGGTCCGGAATTCAGACAAGCCCTTCGGCGGCATCCAGTTGATCGTGTGTGGGGACTTCCTGCAGCTGCCGCCGGTCTCTCGTACAAACACCGCCACATTTTCCTTCCAAACGAGCGCCTGGCGGAGCTCCATTCAACGCACCATTGAGCTCACTGCTGTGAGGCGTCAAGACGACCAAGTCTTTATTGATCTGCTCCAGGAAATCAGGATGGGAAGGTTAGTATGAGTAAAGATTCGTTATAAGCAATCATTCAACAGGTTTGGACGGTGAGTATAAGTAAACAGTATAGCACGGTGACTGGGTATATGTAAACATTTATTTTATAAATAATTTAATAGTAATTTATAGTATAATTATAATTTATAGTATAGTATTTTCAAGTAATAATTTGACTGGTCTGGACGGTGAGTATAAGTAAACATTTATTTTATAGTATAATTATAATTTATAGTATAGTATTTTAAAGTAATAATTGAACAGGTTTGGAAGGTAAGTATAAGTGAACATTCAACAGAATGAGACGGTGAATATATGTAAACATTTATTGTAAGTAAGCATTCAACAGATTGGGACGGTGAATCTTAGTCAAAATTCATCAGGATGGGGCGGTGGGTATAAGCAAACATTAATTATTAGTAACTATTCAACAGGATGAGACTGTTAGTATAAGTAAACATTCAACAGAAAAATTTTATTTGCTTTGTAATAAATTGACTCCCTTAAAATTTTCAAGGGGATCGTCTACCATACAAAAAAACTTTTTTGTTTACTGACGGATCGTTTTGAAACTTTGTACACATATGTAAAACAGGAATCTAAGACCTTTTTGTTCGTGAACATTTTTAGAAAAAATTAAAAAAAACGTAAAATAAATAGAAAACTGTAAAAAAGGGGTATGGTACTCAAAAAAAAGTACTCTAAAAAACTGTTGCAAATCACATACTACAATGTCGAAACACATAGCATTCGATTCGTAACAACAATACTAGCGACTGTAGAGCCCCGATTGTTTATTTTCCTCTTCGTTTTTTATTTTATGCGCGTTTTTCTCAGTTCTTCCAGTTTGTAGCTTTCAAACGAGTGCAAACACTTTGTAATTAACGAGAGTAATGATCTTTATATACAGATTTAATTCAAAGAAATCTGTGTACGTATTGTTAAAAAATGTTCATTCTATATATTTTTAAAATTTTCTAACGCAAACACTATAGCACGCACATAAATGCGGTTAACTGCGTTAGACACGCCTTTTCAGCAGCTACACAATGAGTCAAGAAAACGGAAAAGCCAAAATTTCCGATTTTGAGGGTAGACGATCCGCTTAATGCACATGTTTGTTTGTGAGTAACTTCTAGACAACATAAAAAATGATCTTGCATTGTTATGAATAGACTTGCTCCAAATATCTTCTAATGCACATGCCTGTTTAGATGCAGCGAGACGCACGCAGCACTGCTGCGAAACACTGCCGAGAACAAGCTGAGTCGGGACGGCATCCTGGCTACCAAACTGTGTACCCACAAAGAGGATGTGTCGCATATCAACAAGCGACACCTTGAACAGCTCCCCGGCCAAACCAAACTATTCACCGCCACCGACACTGAGGGTTACACTAAGATGCTTGACATCCAGACTCCCGTCCCTAAATTGCTCCAACTCAAGGTATTATGGAATATGATGTTTATATCCACAATGGTAATAAACAGTTGTATTATTGAACTATTGATAGGGTTATTTAGTATGGGTTTAGCGCCACCGACACTGGGGGTTTCTGTGCGATGCTTGACGTCCATTAACAATTATAACCGTGGTCTATAAATATTTCAAATGATGAATTTTTTCTCGAATTATTCAGCAGTAATGTAAATGCTTCTTGGACCGTACATGGAATATGATGCTTTGTTCCAGACTAGGCATAAAAATACTTTTCGTGATTTATAGATATGGCCAATGTTGTTCTTTGCTCTAATTCATTATTAATTATATCTATACTTCTTGGACAATAGCTGGTGAAATAAACTTAACACTGACTGTCTTGGTAATTGTTATAAATAGATAAATTATTCGACGAATTAACATGAATAAGCGACAAAAATCTGATTGCTTTTTAAACTCTCTATGGTTTATTCTTGCATATTATAATTTTAAGTGTCGATCATATACTATTTTGATTATCTATCATGAAACATTAGCCGTCATTTTGTATCTGTTGAGGTGGGTGCTCAAGTGATGCTCCTGAAGAATTTGTCAGTAGCAGAGGGCTTAGTGAACGGATCACGGGGCATCGTGCAGAGCTTTGCTGCTAGTGGTAAGCTGCATTTCTTCTGTTTGCTTCACCATTAGGATAAATTTAAAATTCAAATCAATGTATAGCATAAAAGTTTAACTTGCCTGCAAATGGTGTTAAGTGAGAAGCATTCAAATTCAACGTATTTGCATCAAAAGAAAACTTACGAAAATTTTTCAGAAGCACCAATTTCCTATGATGTGTCAAATTTTTTTTAAATATTTATCAAAATAATTTACTTATCCTTGTAAACTTCAGTTTTCAAATATTATATTACTTCTCATGCTTACTACGAAATGAATATTTTTGAATCTGTAAATCCATCATCATACCGCCACCCTTGCTTGAAACTTATCTATTCTATTTCAATATTTATTTACCAATTTAATCTGTGCCTTAAAATCTATCGTACAGCGCTTGTTGATGAGGAAAGTATAAACAACATTCGACAGTTTAAACGGTACCTACGTAGCGGCACTCCACTTTAAAAAAATTTCAAACTAACTACCACTATTTGCAGTGCTATTGGCCTACAGGCGCTACTTGCGGCGGAAGAACCCAGTAAACCTTTACTCCAGGCCAGTAGTATTATAATTAGTTTCAGCATTTGAAGTTTTTACTGGCCGCCACTACTGTCCCCGTGTATAAGCATCTTAACTATCATCGAAATTACGATCTACTCAATTGAGAAGCAGTTTTATCATCAACCTAAGAAGCCGTCAATGATTGGCTGACAGGGCTACAAACTCCTTACTATCTCTAGAAGTACGGATCCTGATCAATTACGTCTGGTCACGGCTGCCCAGGGTTTCCTGTGGTGAAGTTTGCGTGCGGTGTGCGACGTGAAGTTGGCGAGGAGCGCTGGCAGGTACGAGGCGGGGGCGGCAGCTTGCATGTCACCAGGAGACAACTGCCTCTCAAGCTCGCTTGGGCCTTCTCCATTCATAAATCACAGGTGATTGCACCGTGAAGGTCGCTTGCTAACCAATTTCTATCTTAAAATATGAGCTATGATTTCAATTTAACTATCCCATTCATCATTGGGAAAGTTTTTTTCCTGTCTGCAAACGCTCGCAGGCGTTGCGTAAATAACATTAGGTTAATAGCTGCGCAATCTTAACACGTTGACTACGATTGCTTCATCTTGTACTATTATTTCATTTTTGTACTGTTTTTAAGCAGGGTTGCCAGACGGTCATTTTTTTCGGACAAATTCCATGATTTAGTTTTTCTCAATAGCGTTGGCCGGCTAAAATTAATGATAGAGGTACTTCCTAATTAAATTTTAAATACTGCAAGAAGAAAATAAATGGAATTTTTATAGCAGAACGTACAAATAAACTAGTAAATATTGAGTTATCGGCCTTTTTTGTTCTTGGATTTGGCCAATTTAAGGCAACCTGAATTATGTACCACTACCTCCTGGAAAAATACATTTCGTGGTACACATATGTACCACTTCGGAGTCAACGTGTTAATTCAAATAGTGGCATAGTAGTAATGTAGTTACAATTACAGTCGTTTAAGTCCTGCTCTCCAATAACCGTCGTTTCAAGATATACGTATACACGAATTTAAAGAACTTTGCATGACCAAATTGATTTTCGTAGAGCGCTCAAATTCTTGGCATGGCAAGATTATATTGGTTTGCATAACACGGCATTGAGTGCAGGTAATAGTTGCTTCAATGATTTAATTAATTGTCGATGATTTAATTCAATGTTGGATTTTCATTTCGTGATTTTTATTTTATTCATAAAGTGGTATTAGAAAGGTAATGTTTCCTTCCTCCACAGGGCATGACCCTGGATCTCGTCGAAATGTCGCTCTCGCGAGTTTTTGAGGCGGGCCAGGCTTACGTAGCGCTCTCCAGAGCTCGTAACCTCGCTGGACTGCGTGTGCTCGACTTTTCCCCATCGTGCATTAAAGCAAATCCTACAGTGCTGAAATTTTACCGAGCGCTGCAAGAACACTGAGGCGTGCATCGCATGCAGTTGTGGTGCTTCAAAGTGAGCGTTGCTGAGAACAATGAAAATACGCGTCAAAATAATGAAACTGAGAACTGAATTTTTAGACTGTGGATAATAACGCACATCCTATGGCATGGAATTCTTAGGTTTACATATTTAATTTTAGAGTTAGTGCATGTGTAGTTTAATTAATTATTGAATTAGAAAATTGTCGAGTCAGGTCACGTCAGCGATTTTGCCCCTCTTCATGTGATTTCAAACAGATTTATTAGAATTGCTAATTTTCAAAAATAGGAGCAGTAGCCAATGCATAGAATACAATTTAAAAAGGCCTGGAGCCTGAGCAAAAAATGACGTGGCGAGTCACATTTTTGTGCTCGTTCCAAATCAAAATTTGGAAATTTTACTCGCAGAATGTGTGCAGATTAGAACATATTAGCGTTAATGTATGTTATAAGAAGAGTTTTCACTGTAATTGATCGCCCTAATAATTGCACATTTTCCAGTAGATAATAAACCATACATCGTTTCGGTAAAGACCGATTTACAAATGGTAAAACGTATGCTACATGTATGTTAGTACTGGTTTTATGCGATGTCGGAAAAGCTGGCATAAAAATATTATCTATTCAACACCTCTTTTGTCTGCTGATTTATGATTTATCCGGACTTAATGTTACTCAATCATATATTCATACATGTATTTAACGCCGGGACAAAACACGTACATTTCCACTAGAATTTATTTGAACTCTAAGAGGGTTTTAAGAACTTCATTTTAGGTGGCTTGCTGTCGCCATTATCATCAAATTTCCTTTTGTTATTGGATGAACTGGAAGATGCGCGATCGTTTGAGCAGCTCCTATCATGACCTCCGCGTCCTCGGAAATTTTGCGAGCCTCCACGTCCTCTGTGGCGATTATTATTGTTGAACTTCCCTCTTTTGCCACCTCCAAACTGATCATTGTTCTTCTTTGGCTCAAATCTGTGGGCTTTTGAGTTTTTGTGCACAAAATTCTTAGGTTGTTGGTCACCGAGACTAGTGTTCATGTGTTCATAAGCCTTTTCGGCTGAAACGTCTACCTCCATGCCGTCTTCTTGTGGCTTGGAAGGTGCTTGTCTGTAAACGAGAAACCATCCATCAGTATTTTTTAGAAAGAAATGAAAATAGTCTAATTCTCATCACAAGTCAAAATATAAAAATACTCAATCAAGTATGAAAAAATTAAAACTATAGCTCTAGTGGTGACCATCTAATAAAATAATTCAACTATGAGAACCCTCACATTGCACTGTTAGTCCTGGAATATTGCTTATTGTCACATATGTATATACATCACACCAAATGGGAAAGATTATTCTTTCCATTTTATTAAAACTGTAAAATGAGTAAAATGAATTCAATTTAGTCATCCCGCATGGATGTAGTTTAGTTTAATTGCCAAATAATTTACTAGTGCTTCAAATTTCTCAGCCATCTCACACCAGAAGAAGTGAATAAATATCAAAGTGGCAGGTCTCAGTTAAAAAAAATTGTTCATGACCCACATGGATCAGGTCTAGAGGTCAGGCTGCTGAAGCAGCATTAGCATCTCAAAGAGAAGAAATAACTAGGAGGTAGCATGTGAAAAGTAACACACCCTCGTATCAGAGGTTTCTTAGGTAGACAAGAGAAATTCAAGGAATCCTGCCTACACACAAACTTACTGCCACAACTATGACCACACTACAGTCAGGTACCGTCAACTGGGGTGACTTCGGCCGCGTTTATTTTTTTGTTGTGCAAACAAAAGCGGGGTCATAAACGATGGCCAGAGTCACTGGCGTTTATGAACTCGTTTACGACCCTGCGTTTATGATCCCGTTAAATAAAAAACGCGGCCACAGTCACCCCAGTTGACGGTGCTGCTAAGTGGGACACTCAGGAACAATGTCCTTAGGAACATGATATCCAATAGGACTTCTCACAAGTATTGACACACAGCAGAAAACTTCCCCGATGGGCTGCACAGACAGTTTATTATTTTCATAGAAGCACATTTGTCATAAAAATCTTTAAATAAAACCAAAATTTAAACTCACATTAGAACCATTTTATAGGAACATGATATCCAATAGGACTTCTCACAAGTATTGACACACAGCAGAAAACTTCCCTGAGGGGCTGCACAGACAGTTTATTATTTTCATAGAAGCACATTTGTCATAAAAATCTTTAAATAAAACCAAAATTTAAACTCACATTAGAACCATTTTCAACAACTATCAGTTGATATTAAAGCTCTATTAAACTTTTCCATGAATTATCCAAATTCATACCTCAAAGGAGCATATACTCCTTTCATTTTAGAGGCATTAATTTTCTCTATCTCTGGATCAAAGCCTCCAAAAGAAAGGCGACATGGCAGGTACTCATTGCAGTCATAGTGTGAAGGCACCATTGATACGTAGTGTCTGTAAAAAAAGTTATTAAATGCACAGTTAAATAAAGGACTTAAGTGCAGTAGTTGTAAATATATCAGAGCTCTAATGTTAAAGTTATTTCAACTCAGAATTTGTGAGTTCCAGTGCAAGATGAATCAATGAACAAAATTTTAGACTTACGCTCCTGTATGAAGAGTGCCCAGTTGATCCCCATAAAGCTGTTCACGTTCTTCCTCTTCAGCTTCTTTTTCAAACTTCTCTTTACTTTTCTTCATGAACTGGAAAAATACACTAATTATTTACCAAATCCTGAATATTAATGGCTAATGAGGTTTTTTATAATGTACAGGAATTTTGTTCAAGAGCCTAGAGCACCAATCAATATTTAGATGAAATTATCAGAACACTTTGTATATTTGTATAGCAATTATTATTACATCTTCTTGATTTCAATAATAAGATTTAAAAATTTTTGCATGAAAGTGACTTTGATGTCAATGCAGCCTAGTGTGCAATCAAACTGAGGAATTGCATTGCCAATCTTAAATATTGGGCAGAAATGTGACATTTTTCTAATTAATGGGGAAGTAATCAGGCAAGGGCCATTAAAAGGGTGAAATTGGCTGCAAGCACAGCCATTTTCATTTTAATTACAGGTAATCTCTGCCTGATTTTCCAAAAGGTTGCATCCAAACTAATTGGGAATATCAGACAGAATTTGCCAAAAATCATGGGCAAGATCATTTCATTTGCAATTTTTATTAATGATATGTGCACAGTGCAGGTAAAAATTTCTGTAAAATGAGTAGTGTAAAATAAATTCTGTAAATTTTTATTTTTCTGTAAAATGAGGCCATAATTTTTTATGAATTTTTAAAAAATTAATCAAATTTTCCATAGGCTTGGGCATTTTTGTCACATTCATGGGTAGCTTACAACAAATTTTGCAGAATGGCATAGGAACAACCCATATATCATTTAGGAATGATAGGCAAAATTCTCCTATACCTAATTGCAGGTAAAAATAATTTTTTCAGGATGATTTTCAAAAAATACCAGTAAAGTTATAAATAGGCAACTTTTCTCATTTTTTACTGAAGAAATTAGAAAAAAGCTCAAGGAATGGGTGAAATTAGCCAGATTCAAATGCAATTTAGTCAGATTCATAGGTTGTTTCTGCCCAATTTTCTGCTTAGGCCAATACATGCCTAATTGTTTTCTAACCCCAACAGTTAACAGTACACAAAAGAAGTCTCAACTATACATAAGGAGAACTGCAATTTTTCAAAAAAAAATCTCAAAACATTATTAAAAAATGTTTTCCACCAGAATTTTAGGATCAATCTCTTAGTTTTCCAGCATGGCAGTTATGGATTTCCTAGGCTTAAATTTTAAAAATATAGGTCTACCTAGTGCTCTATAAGTCCTCCATTTTTGGGTACATTAATTTTTTAATATCAGTTTTTTTTAAACAAAACTGCTCTGCATGAACAAAAAGCTCCCTGGTCCTAGAACTGAATCAAGAATGATCCATTTTTTTAAAACATGATTACATGATAAACACTTGCCTTAAGTTCAAGTATTCCTTTTGATAACTTAGCTTTTCTTTCCATTATTTCGTTTCTTTCAAAAGTATTCAAGTATTTAAATTCTTTTTATTATGCCAGACGCTAATCAGTAAGGAAAATTAAATAACGGTCGCACCAGATGTCTTTAAGAAACGAAGTAATATGCAATAATGCAGAGAACACATACACACTCACGTCACAACCTCAACTTCCTGCTTATTCGCGCTGAGCTAATGAAATTTAAGACCTACCATTCTCATTCCGCAAAAACAGAATGTTCAAAACTTGGAATATATTCATTTGGAGTCAAAATATATTATTTCATAATTTATTTAGCTTTGACAGCTCTTATAGTTATTGAAGGCATACTTTTGAATTTGGGGTGGATAGCTAGAGGTCAGCATAGCCCAAGTCACCAGTGCGCTCCATATACCTCTCCGAGCGTAACGCAGCCGGGCATCTTCACGGCTATCGACACATAGCGCCCACCACAACAGCGCCGTTCAGTCACAGGCACTGTTTAACAGCACCGGAGCGCAACAGGCTACTCCTAACGTAACCTAACCTAACCTCAGTAACCTGCGCCTGTTGCGGTAGGGTTTTATAGCCACATGTGACAAAAAAGAGGAAGGGAATTGATTATTAGATATAAGTAGCCTGTTGTGCTCCTGCGCTGTAAAGCAGTGGCTGTGTTGTGCAAAGCGGATTTACTGTTAGCCGGAGTTACACACAGCTCATTGATCTGAAGCTATGTGTAGATATTGCATGCTGATGGTTGGCGTTGGGCCCAGGGCCTGTTTACGAGTCAATTTTGTTACCCACGGCTGCGCTCCCGGCAGCATGGGCAGCAGCAGGGTCAGGGTGAAATCTCGGTGAGAATGTTGACACCAACGATTATTCAGATCATTGAAGACATTTACAGGGACAAGCAAATGAAAGTTTTGCGTTACAACAGTTATGCACTCGTAGGTTTTCATGTTTCTTGGTCCTATCCTTCATATTTCTAAGATTTCGATATTTCGTATAATTATGGCTTATATCGATTGATTGCATTTGGCTTCTCTAAATTTTTGATCTGATGATAGGAAAATCAGAAACATTTCGTTGAATAGGTAGTGAATATACTAGGCATTTTCTGTACTTTCAACTTGTTCATGCCGATAGAGTTCGTAGAAGTGTCGATTTGGTACATATCTGCATGTTAGTATGCTCTTTTCATTTGAATATGTGACTTCGTGTGTTTCGTTTTCATTGTCTACGCATAAGAGATATGACCGCGATTGCAGAAGCGTCTTATCATATGTTGGTGGTTCACCTGTCCAATTACTTCCATTGCAGTGAATTATGACCTAGTCCATGTTGAATCATGAAAGCTTATTTGCGAGATAATTCGCCTGAACATTGTAATACGCATTGGCGCACCTGCTTTGGGAAGTGTTCTCATTAACACATTGTCTATTTTGCATTTAATTATGTGTTACAATCACTTCTTTGCGATTAATTGACATTTGCAAGCACTACCAGACTGCATGGAAAATATAAATCCAATCTAAAATCTAATCCAAAATTACCTCAGCGCCCATTATCTAAACATAATTAATTCACAGTGACTATTACATCTATTTATCGATCACATGTTCTTTGACGTGTATCTTACCTTAAATCGTTTAGCTCAAGGAAAAACGTAATCATTTGCTTGAACGTCATGAAATTTCAAGTCCATATAGATTATGTTAAAAGGAATACTATTCTTTTACTCAGACGTGACCTTTCCAACGACGGCGCGCGAAAACACGAACAGACAAGAAGTTTTTCAATACAGTTGTATGAATATGAGGAAACTTCAAGTTCGAAATATCAACAGTTTTTTGCGTTTGAATAATTTGATTGTATCACTTTTCAGTATTTCCAGACACAAAGCAAACTATTACTTGCAACGAAATGTAGAAATTATCTAAGCATATTTGTCCAACAAAAGCAACAATAACAGGTTTTTAATTTTAGTACTATCTGAAGGAGTAAAACTAAAAGTTACTGAAACTATTTCCAGTATTTGATTTTGTAATTTTTGTTCAGGGAATCATTCTCTCTGTCTTACTAGGTAGCTATATTGTAGTTTAATGAGCCTTCAAATTTTCAACCAATTATGAAATTGTATTCCAGACGTACACGTAATTTAAACACTAGTGACTACTGACTAACTTTGGTCAGTAACTGACTAGTAAACAGAGGTAAAACAGAGACTAATTAAACAGAGGTACTCTAAACAGAGTAGGTAAGCGAGTGTGAAGTTGTGAACAAACACCTAACAATCTTTGTTCAGCAATCTAGAATAGGTTTTAGACAAAATTTTTCTTAAATTTTTTGCTAAAATTTTTTTTTTTAATGTTGTTTGATAATAATTGGCTAAATGTGCCAAGCTCGTAGAAATGGAATCACGGCTGGCAAATCCATAAAACCACGGCTCAAAAAATTCAGTCGCGGCTCACCAAGTAGATATATTCCATACTAGGGCCCCAGCATGCTAGCACTTTCCCAAACAAAAGATAGCTGCGCATTTAATGAACAAAAGGGGTGGGCCAGCGACTGTATGGAATTCTGTATAGCTAGCTAGGTAATATATTATCATGTTAACAAAAGAAAATGTATCGAAAAATTTACCACCTTCCACCGAAGTGACAATTGATACTCTTACACTGAGCTTGTCAGAAACTGTGGACATCCGGACAGCTGCACTTCCTCTAACTCGCTTGCGTGTGGTTCGAAAACCGATAAAAAGTTGGCGACTCTTCCTTCCAATACATCACTAGTCGTCTATCTGTATAGACAAATTTTGTAATGAATATGTTCCAAAAATAAAAATTACATAGGGTAAACGTGGTATATTCCGACACATTAAGGACGCATCAAGAAATGAAAAACTATAAAAAAAATAACCGTATGCGTTACTTGAGTTCTGTTTACTTCATGTGACTCGCAAAACACCGTACTACGCGCCAGCAATGATGAAACGTCACAAAATGTTGCCATATTTATTTAAAAGCCTTTAGAATGCAAACCTACCAAATCCCTATATTCCGACACTGTGTGTGGC